GCCAAAACCCAATGGACTTGTGCCAAAGAATACATAACATACCACTAAATTTACAGTACCGATGACACCCATAAATACAGATATTGAATACATCTTTAAATTCGATGCAAAAGTGTTTTTTAGTGGGAGCACTGTGCGTCACGAACATTACGTTTCTCTCTCCCGATTTGAAATAACGAGGTGTGCTTGTTAGTTATAAGGGTTTAGGCCTGTAGTTAATTAATTCTTGTTGAGTTGGATTTTTTTTCGAGGTGGTTTCCAGTCAGGAGATATTACTGCTGTTTTCAGTAAAACGCTGAGTTCAGCTGCTTTTTCACACGTTGCAGCCTTCAGATCAGGACTCGGGAGTTACTGAATGTCTTTGTTTTGCTTAAATGTTTGCCTGCTTTCCGTCGCCTATCAGCTGCTAAAATTATATATTTTCAGGTTCTGGCATTGGGTGTCAGTAATTGAACGGGCAGTGAGCCAGATTCCCAACCAGGGTTGTTTTTTTTCTGTCTGAGAGATTAGGTCTAGGGTTGCCTGTCACTCACTTGAGCTGGGATGAATTCTGTCTGGCTTTACCTTGGTGCCAAGCCCTCCAGTGCTTTATCCTGGGGGACGAGGGAAAGGTGAAGCACAAGGTTTTAAGAAAAACTAACACGGTTTCCCTTAGTCCCCAAAGCATACCGCTTGTTACAACATTCTGACTCCGATCCTCGTTGTAAGTGTCAATTGATGTGGCCTGAAAAGAAATCAGCCCACTCACCATCCCATCAAGCTATGCACAGGAATAGCTGTGAGAGGTGGGTGGGGGGGCAGGAAAGAGAGAGGAGAATTAGAGGGGATCTTATAGAAACCTATGAGATCATCAAAGGGCATGATAGAGTAGATAGTGGGAGATTGTTTCCCTTGGTTGAAGAAACTAAAACCAGGGGTCACAACCTTAAAATCAGAGGCCAGCCCTTTTGCACTGAGTTGAGGAAGAACTTCTTCACTCAAAGGGCGGTGAATGTATGGAACTCACTACCCCAAAGAGCTGTTGACACTCAGTCCTTGAACATATTTAAGACTGAGATAGATATGTTTCTTATTGCAAAAGGGATTAAGGATATGGGGATAAGGCAGGGTTATGGTATTAGCTGGAGTTAGATTAGAAGATCAGCCATGATTGAATGGCGGGGCAGGCTCGAAGGGCCGAATGGCCTACTCTTGCTCCTACATGTTATGTTCCACTGCAGCTCATCAAAGCCTAAGAACCAAACCAGGGACTGAATGGTGTGTACGGGATCAAGCCTTCTGTTGAAAACTAAGGCAAAGAGATGGACTGAACTTCTATTCTCTCTGATGGATCTTAATTGTGGTTACCATTAATGCTGGTTAAGTTTGGACAGCTGCCTACATTTGCTGCCTACTTTTAGGGAGGTTACCTGAATGTAACCTGGTAGCTTAGGTAACCAGTTACTACATTTAGGCAGCTGCCTGAATTCTATAACGTGGCACTAAAGTGAGCAATCTCAGAAGGTTGCCTGGTTTGATTTGTCCCACTATAGCAACACCTTTTAAGACTGGGGTTTGTTGTTGGAGGGACAGCCCAATGGAAGGAAGCACCCCATGCAGAGGAAATGTATTCCATTCCTGAACCTGCTGTCACTCACCTTGAGCCATTATTGAGAAAAAAAACATGACCCACAAAGTCATCGCTTACCATTGATTTTGTTTTATCAAAGCCCTTCTCAGCATTCTTTGCCAGAAAGAATTTTGAAGCAACGCACTACATACAGCCCAAGTACTGGTTGTACTTAACATTGTCACAATTTGGCAATGGAAACAATTACACTTGAAGGCTTCTCGGAACCAGATTTATTTTATTTGTTTTTATTTTTCACTCCTTGTGATTCCTATTATTTCCTTGTTAGGGGTTCCACGGCAACATCGACTGCATGATGAAAACTGGCTAATTTTTGCTGTGCATTTTGAAATGCTTTGCATTTGGGAGCAAATGTCCAAACGGACAATATGGGGTTCACAAAAAGCACCCTTAAATCCGTGTTGTGACCACTGGCAGAAGGACTTGTGATAAAGCTGCTTTATCACAAAGAATGATAAAACTACTTTATCACAAGAAAAGGGCTGGGACAGCAGGAGAAACTCCTTTCTCTTTTTGAATTGCGCCATGGGATGTTTAATGTCCAACTGGCAGATGGGAACTCGATTTCTAACAGCTCCTCTGAAGGATGGTACCTCCAACAATGTAGCACTCCCCCAACGCTGTAATGGAGTATCAGCCTAGATGTCTGCATGGTTCAGATGTAATGTGGGAACACAATAGACCCACAGTGTACTGACATGTTGGCCTTTGCCTCCAGTCCAGCTGCTTGTGCACAGGCCAGGCAGGGCTCCGATGTCAGGAGAGGCCTGAGAAATGACTGTAAATGTTCGAGAGAGCAGTTGCTGCTGACCGCTCAAAGTGCTGGCTAGTAGCTGTGCTCTTACACACCCCACTATTACATACAGCAAGTAAGACTTCAGCTCATGAGGTCTGTTTCTCCATTTCTTTGCATCAGTGGAAGTTTAACATAATTTTAATCCCATTTCTCCACTCTTTCTCCATATTCCTGACTGCCATTACTTCCCAAGAATCTATCCCTCGTCCTTACGTATAATGCTACCGAAACAGGCCATTTGACCCAACTCCATACGCACACACACACCCTTTCTATATCACTCTTGTTTACTCCTCTATTACCTTCTCTACTATGTATGTGTCATGGTTTGCCTAAGATGCATTGAAGCTTTTTGCTTCAACCACAGCTTCCGGCAGGAGTTGCATTTAATGGACTGAAAAAACTGTCTTATATCTGCAGTCAGGACTGCATTGTGATTTATTGCAAGGAGGATGATGTGAATTTTAAACTTTTTTTTCTATAATGCTTTAGAACATGCACATATGCTACCCCTGCCCCCCCCCCCCCCCACACACACACACACACACCACCACCCCCCCACATCCATCCCCCTCCCTCCCACCTTCCCCCCTTCCCCAATCGCAGTGTTTGGATTAGAAAATAGGAGTTAAGGTCATTAAAAAAAGATAAAATGAGGACAGGCAAAACAGTTTCAAGTGCTGGTCACGGTTCTGCAAACGAAAATTGTGCCCGAGATGTTTTTCAAAAGGAAAAATATGTCCCAAGTCTGCCAAAGCAATAGATCTTCTTAAAGCAAACTGGACTTGGAATATAAATTAAAAAATAAACAGCTATCACAGACCTAGAATTAATCAGGGTTTGCACTTTTTTTGAACATGCAAAGAGACAGTTTAAGCATAATCTGTTTCACATTATCGTTCGCATTATTTATTGTAGGAAAGCCATTATTAGATCCATTTCAGAGTGTGCCTAATCAGTGAGTAGTGGGCTTTAATCCCTTATCGTAGACAAATGCTAGATAGTGTGAACAAAGCTTATTCGCACTTGACCTGCTTAAGACTAGAGCCCTGAGTGCTCAAGCAAGCCTTCTGTTCATTGTATGTCAGCCTGGCTCATATATGATTTGGAACTCAGTCTAGGTTGACACTTTAATGCAGTGCTGGGGAGCGCTACATTGTTCAAAGTTCGGATGAGATGTTAAATCAAGGTTCCTTCAGCCTGTCCGGCTATTTGAAAAGATAAAGGGAATATCTCCTGGTACAATTGATCATTCATTTCATGACTGTTTGCAGGACTTTGCTGAGCGCAAATTTGGCTACCGCATTTTCCCACCGAAAATACCGTATCTACACTTTACAGTAAGTATATCCTTGGAAGTGCTTTGGGACATCCTTCTGATGTGTTGACATTTCTTGTTTTTTTTTGAGTGTTTCACAACGGTTACATGAAAAACAATACATTCACCCTACCATAAAACTTTTTAAATCTTTGGCTGACCAAATATCAATATATATTTATATGATCAACCCCACCTCCCATCTCCTCTTCCCAACCTTGTATATTGTGCTAAAATAAGAACATAAAACATAAGATATCAAAGATACTAGTATTTTAAGATACTAAAATACCACATGCTCACTTATCAGTTTAAACTGTAGAAAATAGGGCACTTTCAGCAGAGCAGGTTGGTGACTACAGAACAGTAGGTGAGGGTGTGGGGGTGGGGGGATAGAGGGGGAAGTAAAAACACTATTGCCTTCAAAAATGGGTCTGATAAGATCCCTTACAGATAGAATTTGTATTTCCTTAAGGTAGAACTTGCAAAACCACATTGAGAAGGTCAGAATTTACAATAATACGCAAAGTGCTTTAATGCTTTAAAGACACTCTCTGTCTCTCTGCGGTGTGTGTCCAGGTGCACACAGTCTCATGATCCTAAGGCTAATCCATACACAACTCCAGCAACAACAGGAGGTACTAGAAACACAATGTCTAATTGCCATCCTCACCCCACTCTTACTATTATTTGTCCCTTCACTGTATCTGTTGCTTTTGTGGAAAAAGTCAGTTCTGTTAAATCAGAGCAATCTCTTACAGCATGTTTGGCCCAGGCACCTATAACCTTACAGCTCCCTAGCATCTAGACCCATACCAGTAATCGAGCATGAACCATCTGATTGATGGCAAATATGGATGTTTGTAAATGAGGGGCCAGGCAGCTGTGAACCCTGGGCCTCTGTCATTCGCACCAGATGACTGGCAAATTACATTTTCTTTGTGTCAATTTTTAATGAGAGGAAGATCAGACCAACACTGACATCTTAAAGGACTTTTAAAACAAGATGGGGAGTGATGGAGGAGTGGGGAGGGGACGGGTGAAGGTAACAATCTTTTGAAATAATCAACCATCACATTTTTTGTTCAGTTTCAGCAGCAGTGAACTAAGTGTCAATCAGCTTTACATACACATGTCACTTTCCACATTAATCTTGCAACATTATGAAAGGTGAGGCTGAGGTTTCTCCACAAATATCCTCTAATCGCTGCCTGCCGTGGTAACGCTCTGGGAACGCTCCGAACAAGAGCACTCACCTGCCAGCTCTTTGTCTTTGAAAGGGTCGTCTCCTTCGGAAAGCTTGGATCTGGCATTGCTGTCACACTCTGGGGTCTGGTAACTGGAAACAAGCAACGAGAGTATTCAAAACACATGTTCGAAACCAGTTGGTCTCGTGCCAGTCTATCCTGTGGCCTTCTTCCTCAGATGAGGATAATGCAGTAAATTAGCCACTGTTGGCCAAGGTTCAGCTTAGACGTGAACCAGACAGTGCAGTTAATAAAAAAAATAATAATCCTTGCATTCAATAAAGTCTATCACATCAAAAAGGCCAAAAGAACTTCACAGGGAATTGCTATTGAATGCAGTGCAGTGACTGGGGGCAAATGCAGCAGCCAATTTGTGCACAGCAAGGTCCCGCAAACAGCCGAGAGGTAAACAATCAAGTTTATCTGGAGGATTGTTGACCAGGGCGTTGGCAGACTCTCGCTTCTCTGCTTGAGGAGCGTCAGGGAATCTTTACCGTGCAACTAAATAAGACCTTGGTTTTAAATGTCAAATGTGGAGTCCTGTGGCATATTGGATAAAGCATAAAGCACTTGCCTTGCAAGTGAGAGGACCTGGTCAGGGTGAAATCTTAGGCAGATTTCCTCACTCCACACGCCTGTTTACCTAGCAGTAAGTAGGAACCCAGTTGTTAGTCAATTGATGGATTCCTTTCCAGGGGTAATAATCTCTTCCAAGAAAAACTGCACTCAATCCACGACTGTTTGTGGAATACTGCTGTGTGCAATTGGCTGCTGCGTTTCGCCCACAAAACATACAGTCAATTCACTTTACAGTGTATTCTGTTAAGTGCTTTGAGACATCTCGATGACGTGATCAGGTGATATATCAAATACAAGGATTATTATTATTATAATATCCTCATTATCATCCAAATCCAACTTGCTTTTACCTACTTTTAACAAAACAAATCAAGTAATGCTACAGTAAAGTATTGCTCACTGTCCATCAAATCTATGTTGAAGGGAAACGGCAGCAAGAGGCTGAGAAAGGCACCCCTGGCAGTAATAATAGTAATAATACTTGCATTTGATATCTCAAAGAGCTTCACAGGATATACTGTAAAGTGGATTGTGTATTTTGTGGACGAAACGCACCAGTCAATTGCGCACTGCCATGTCCCACAAACAGTCATGGAGTGAGCAATGGCAGGAATGGGAGACTCATCATTTTCACATCCTCCTAGTGCAGAATGTGCCAGCTTAAATGGTCATCTGTCTTGGTCAAAGCTGCCCAACATCTCAATGCTTTCCCTGCCGCCGCATCTATTTGGCTAACATCTTACAGACAGCAGCAGACCCAATGCTCATTACAAAAACAGAATGGTAACAGCACAGAACATTTTGTACAATTGTTTCTGAAACTGTGTGTTGCAGGGGGGAAGCGCCATTAAAATTCTAACAGCAGTTGTTTTCTAGGGCTATCCCTGACCTGTTTTTATGGATTATTCTAGCTGGCTTTGAGCATCAAACAGTGTAACATCCTCCAGCTCAGCCTGAAAATGCAGTTTCCCCCCCAAAAAAGACCTAAGGGGTTAAAAAACAGACAGTGCCTGGTAAGCGCTCAGTGATACAGCCCATCAAATCAGGGTCTGGGCTGAGTTAGCTGATTTCCTCTTTCTTTGGTCAGCCAGGTGTTTGACACATGCGGAAACCCATCGCCATGCTTAAGAGTATCCAAACCAAACTGGGAATTCCATGCATCCCAACTCCACGTGGAAATTCCAGCGATAGAATGATCTCCTCTGAGGCAGTGTAATTGGCCCCAAATTGGGGAGGCGGAAAAAAAAGTAGGTCGGGGCAGGTAGGTGCCGGGTGAAAACAGGATCAAACTTAGCTGTGACTTCTCCATTCCACACACACCCCCCTCCCCCCACATCCCCAGTCAAGTAGCTTGCAGACAGTCAGTCATTTGGACACAGTTACTCAGGTGAGGTACCAAGGAGAGAATGTCTGGTGACCATATAACTGTACCCTTATAGAAAGGCGGGGGGGGGGGGGGGGGAAGAGGAGGAGTTGGGCGCCTTTGGTAATTGACGAGAGGAAAGTGGGACAACAGTGTGAACGAATCTCAGAGGAGATCATTCCAACAACCTCTCTCTGGAATTTCCATGGATAGTTTCAAGAACCAGGTTGAAACTAGTGCAACTTCCAAAAATGTGGGTGTTTCAGCCACATTTTTTAAAAAAAAATAACCTCTGTGCACGTAGGAAAATATGTCTCTAACATGTGAGCTCATTACTCCGAATGGAACTCTGCAGACATTACACCACTTTATATCCTCCTGTAAACATTTCTATGGCCATGGGACATTGTATGATTCTTCCTTTGTGGGGTTATACTAATAATAATCCGTGCATTTAATAATCCTAATTACATCGTTGAGATGCCTCAAAGCACTTAACAGAATATATTGTAAAGTAGATTGACTGTATTTTGTGGGTGAAACGCAGCAGCCAATTGTGCACAGCAGTGTCCCACAAACAGGCATGCAGTGAGTAATGGGAGACTTATCATTTTCAGCAGTGTCCCACAAACATTGACCAAATGATTATTTTTATTTTGAAGGGATTATTACCCCTGGAAAGCGATCGGCCAATTAACTAACACCCGGGGTCCCGACTTACTGCGAGGTAAACAGAGGCGTGTGGAGTACGGAATCTTGCCTAAGGTTTCATGGGTTGCCTGAGAAATGAGTGACACAATGTGCGACTTAACAAATTTTCTATCCAAATATTGAACCTAGGCAGTGTGTGTTTTTTAAAATCTTGCACTGTCTGAGCTCTTACTGTACAAAGCCATTCAGCATCCCACAAGAAGGACATGAGCCAATTCATGAAAAAGAAACCACACACAGAGTCTTCACTGGCACAAGGCTAATCAAGATCGCAATAAGCTAAATCACACAAGCCTGGCACTAAATATTTTAGGGTTTTACTTGGAGCCAACTAGCATTTGTCTAAAAATGCACAACATCTTGTGTGCCATTTCAGACCTCCTACATCCTTTTGCTTCTAAGACTTGATGGTCTCCAGCTTATTTACGCTTTGGTTTTAAATCTCTTTTTCGGGGTAGTTGGGGGAGGAAGAACGAGGAGCAAAGGATATCCCTGCCAGAAAATGGGGATTTGTTTGTGTTTTTCTGTCCAGCTGGACCATCAATGCCGCCAAACTTTTCATTCTGCGTTTCACTTATTACGAGAAATCCTATCGTAATTGTGAAATGCAAATTTTGCTAACATTGATCAAGCAGTTCATTTTATAATAATAAATAAAATTATCCTTGCATTTGTTATGGCGCCTTATCATATCTTCGAGAAGTCTCAAAGAGCTTCACAATCTCTATATTTTGTGGGCAAAATATTTTACAGGCCCTGTAATCCCAAATGGGTATATTTAATCTCAGGAGAATATTTCTTCGCTCTCCTTTGCCCCAATAATCTCTAGTATACCGTCCTTGGAGAAGTATCCGGGTTCGATTCCCAGGTGGGGCAAAACGTTTAGCAAGTTTCCTTGCTCCTCTATGTATCTAGCAGTAAATAGGAATCTGGTTGTTAGTCAATTGGCACAATTGGCCGCCGCGATTCGCCCACAAAACATAGTCAATTCACTTTACAGTACATTCTGTGAAGCAACTTTGAGACGTCTAGGAGATATGAAAAGTGCTACATCAAATGCAAGGATTATATTACTATAGAAGAGAGTGGAGACTTTCTGGGGCAAGTTGAAAGCCAAATCCTGAAGGTGAAAGGGACAGTGCTGTGATCCAGTGTGACACCCAGCCCTTCCTCATTTTATGCCTCTTTCATAATAGACTTTTGTGAACTAAACTTGTTCTCATCCATTCTCCAGCCACTCAAGCCACCATGAGAAGATATGACTGAAGAATGAAGTTGCTCAACACTGCATGCAATGTCAATACGAAGCTTTGTTAGCAGTGGGTAAGGTTATAGGCCGGTGGATTGTGATTCAGAACTGTCCTGAGTAGCCATGACGATATACCACAATACATTTGAGTACATTCACTTTTTTTTCCCCCCTTTCAACCGAACCACAAAACCACTGTGGGCTGTTGGAGGATGCGATCTTTTCATAGCGAACCCACAGTGTACCATACAACAGACGTGTTAAGTTGAGCACTCTGTGTTATACACACACACGCTCAAATAGAGAACTGTTGCTAAATTGCTAAAACTAATCCGAACTGTAAAACTAGCAATGAGTCAAAACCATAAACATTAAGCTCCTGTAAAATAACATGATTCAGAACATTTACAGCAAAACTCAGTAGAATTAAAAATACTGTGTTGTGACTGTGCATGTGTGAGCTATTAAAGCGTGCGGTTATTGTGGAACGTCTGTGCTGAGGAAAACATTCGGAGTATTATCTGATCTATTGCTTGCTCTTCACTCCTTTTCGCCTAAAATGCACAATCACAGTAAAATCCCATGAAGCGCTTTGAGACGTCGCTATTAGAAGGCGTTGTATCAAGTGCAAGGGTTATTATTTAACTTCACCAGTCCCTGTCCTCAGGAACTATCTTACAAACCCACTTTGTCTCTTTCCCCATATTAAAAGCTTCCAAAAATATACATATATTTCTGACCCGGTCAATACTTTTATGTTTAAATCTCTCATTCTTCTATTCTGCTTCCACCATTGCACCTATTAAGCAGTTATTAGATGTTTTCATGTTAGCCTCAACAAGAGAAAATTTTGAACCATTCTCTAACCTGGAAGGAATATTATTTCTTCCACTTCTCTCCCCACCGCCCCCATTTCCAACCCAATGGTAGCTTTCATAACGGGATATGAAATGTTAGGGTTGACCTGAGATGGAGTGGGAGATCAGTATCCTTCCTCAGCACCCTATTTGAGGGACTGCAACGAATTCTCAGATTTGTCGTTCATCCAGCCTCGGTAATGCCCCCCCGCTCAGGTGGTGTGGGGGGCGGGGGTAGCAAGGGACTGAATGTAGGACAGAATAATAATAATATAATAATAATAATCCACATCTCACTGTTTTTGTGGGTTGAAACCGCACTGTGGTCAGTGCATAACTGACTTTCCCTCCCTTCTTTTCCTAAAGGTGCTGATTCATTCTGGAATACAGTTCCCTGGGCATTCGCTCATCTCCAAGTGACTATTCTTGATGTGTGAATCTGCAGCGAGTGTCTGCAGGCTATCAGACTTTGGGTGTGTTGCGGTGAGATAAAAATGACTGATGGACCCAATTCCATTTATACCCAATGTCTACATATAGCAGCTGTCTAGCAGGGGCTCACTAAACAGTCATAGGTTTACTTAGCAGTAAGTAGGAACCCAGTTGTTAGTCGATTGGTGGATCGCTTTCCCAGGGGTAATAATCTCTTCAAAAATAAATAAATAGGTCACTCAATCCATGACTGCTGTGCATTTCGCCCACAAAATATACATTCAATTCACTTTACAGTATATTCTGTGAAGCGCTTTGAGACGTCTTGAAGACGTGACAAGGTGCTATACCAAATTGCAAGGATTATTATTAGTAGTATTATTATCGGGAGTAGGGAAACCCTGGTTGAATTTCTTCTCTCCCTTCTCTATCCAAGAGACACTGCGGTCAATTGTAGACTCTATTGTTAATCTAGGTGGGATTGGCTAACCCAGCTCATTTGGTGGAATCAAACCTGAGACCTTCTGGTGTCTAATAAGTACTAATAAGGGTGAAGAGTGTCATAAGAACATAAGAATTTGCAAGGCGAAAGAAGACCAAGTTCCACTGAGTTCGCCTTCCACCATCCTGGCAGTCGCTTGACATGTTATGTGCTGAACTATATACTGTGTTAGCGAGACATTGATAAGAGGAGGGGGAGGTGCATGTACTTCTTTGACTGAAACCAATAGCTGGAACGTTGCGAGACATTGCTATGTGGTGGCATCCACACTTAAAGGATTAATTTTAAGTTGTTGCAAGTTTACTAGCTAATAACCTGCAGTGCATTAATGTGAAGCGATATCAGTTAGTGTGTCGGCTACAGAGTTTCATTTCGGTTAGCAAATCCACTGTTGGCAATTTGGCGGCAGCTGGTGCCAAATCAGACGATCTAGAGAGGGGTTACTATCTTCATTGGCCGTTATGTAGCACACTTGGTAGTGAGTGTTTTTAAATTTACAACAAGCAATAAGCAAAAATTAAGAATGAAAAAATCCTAGGATTAAAGGCACCCTCCCCACCCCACCCCCACACGCACACACACACACACACTCTATTCTACCGCCATAGTAACGTGGTGTCGATTGAATTTTGATAATCCTTTTAAAAAGAAAGTAATTTGGGAAATTCTAACCTTTTACTGGCGTTGAGCTTCAGGCTGTAATTTACACTTTAATTAGGTCAAAGGTTCTATTTTTAAAAAAATGACTGCAATCCAAAACACTTTGGCCCCTGAAAAAGGGAACCAAACATCAAAAATATTACAGGCTCCAAGGGGATTCCAGCAACCTTGACCAATCTAATGGGGTTTTATTCCAGCCCCAGCTCAAACTTTATGAGTCAGTCAAAATAGCTTCACATTCCCCTTCGCATTTCTTTATTTTGGCTGTGCGAGCGTTCCCGCCATCTCTCTCTCCCTCCCTCTCTCTCCCTCCCTCCGTCACTCTCTTCTCACCCACAAAAATATACAGTCGATTCACCTTACAGTAACATTCTGTGAACGTCCTCCTGACGTGAAAGGCGCTGTACAAATGTAACTTGTTGCTGCTGCTGTTGTGAAGCGCTTTGAGGCGTCTCAACGAAATGATAAGACACTACACCAAACGCAAAGATTATTATTATATTCTCAAGCGCTGGCTACTCACCGAGTCGAGGTCCCAGGAATGGGGCGTCCAATATCCACTAAGACACACCAGCAGTAGCCAGTGGACTGGTGGCACTGCACGGGCTTGTAGAGTCCGGCCTCTGCACAGTCTGGGATGAAGATGCCGTCTCGGGGATACTGCCGCGTCTCCTCCAGAGCCGTCTGACGCTCCTGATCACAGGAGGGTTTCTCTATCGAGAGGAAGAATGAAAAACGTCCATAAATTGACTTTTGAAAGTCGCCTTCGGGGGAGCTGCCAGGCCAACTCCCTTTATTTTCGTTCGTCGAGCCAAATAGTTTTCATGTCAGACTAATTTTTTTTATTTCTTCCAAAAAAGGTTACAGCATTTTTCTCTGGCGTACACGGTTGGTGCTTTGGAGCTCAAAGAAAATGAGACCATTGTTCAAAACTTTTTACACATTGGCATGGTCCAGGAGGCTGCTGTAATGCATTTGCCCATCCAACCTTACCACTGAGTGACAGAAACATGAGCTCGCTCTTTCCAACTGTACTGAGGCATTAGCTCAAACTGATGTCAGTCTCAACACATTTTTAGAAAACAGTAGCCTTTCTTCTCTCCCTGCACCCCACTCCCTCCCATCCCTCCCTCGCTCCCCCTTAGAATTCCAGCACAAATTGGGAACGGGCAGTTTAAAGAGATTTGTCTCAGAGCATTCCAAACATATTGCTCAGAATACTGACTAGCAATGAGGTCCCATGTTTATAGTCTCCAGTCGCTTCCAACTTTAGCTGATCTCAATTCAACTGATCTCATGCTTGAAAAGCTACATTTGGCCAGTCCTGATTTATTGCACCTTCCTTTGGGAATTACACTACTTGTAGCAGTCTTCATTTGAGTCTGACCAGGAGAGAATGGTGTTATTAAGGGAAAGCGTGCACAGAGGAGGGGTTTGGAGCGCTTCAAACATCTGAGGAACAGGACAACAACAACAACTTACATTTGCATAGCGCCTTTCACGTCAGGAGGTCATCCCAAAATGCTGAACGCTCAAGGATGTGTACCTGAGCTGGAGGTTGGGATCAGGAGGAGTGGAGGGCAGGGAGGGTGGGGGTAGGAGGGTGACCAAAGACTCGGTTGAAGAGGAAGGTCTTGAGACGGGCCTTGGAGGGGGCGAGGCGAAGGAACTGTGCGATCGAGTTCCAAAGGGGCAGAGGGTGATGCAATGTATGAGTATTGTGGGGTCTTAATAGTTAAATACAGTGAGAGAGGGATAAAGCTTCCTTCCATCATCCCTCGTGTTCACTCCAGGTCGCAGAAAGGTATTAGCGCTATTAAAGGAATCCAAGAGAGAGAAAGAAGAGACAATTGGGGAGCAAGGAGGAATGTTTGAAGCAGAAGAAGCCAGGGAAGGAGATAAAAGAGCAAATTAAAGATCATTAGTATTTTTCTTGTTTAATTATATCCAGAGTTCAATGTGACTTGTTACTGCACCAGATGTGTTTATGTAATAGGTGGTAATGTAACAGGAGGTCAAGTGGAAAAATGGTGCCCTCTTGTTATTATTGTGCTTTGGGCCTGTCAGAAAAACCAAGATTAGGCATGTAAGATACCTCAACTGATTATCCAATTGCTAGTAAAGGAATCAAAGAGAGAGAAAGAAGACAATTGGGGAGGAAAGGAAGGAATGTTTGAAGCAGAAGAAGCCAGTCTGGCTCAGTTGTCAGCGTCTCATGTCTGAGTCTGAAGGTTATGGGTTCAAGCCCCACGTTGGGATTTTGAGCTCATTGTCCAGGCTGACACTCCAGGGAGAGCATGCGTCCTTTGAATGAAATGTTAAACCGAGGTCCCATCTTCCAATGCTGGTGGATGTTAAAGATCCCATGGCACTATTTGAAAATGGAGTTTCTTCCTGTATCCTGGCCAACAATCCACTAAATAAAATTGGTCACTCACTTTGTGGTCGTTCGGGGAAACACGCGTTTCCCTACAAATACAGTCACTACACTTTGCAGTAAAACCCTGTGAATTGCTTTGAGACATCCTCTCAACATGAAAGACATTGTATCAAATGCAATGATTGTTTTTAACCTTATTATTGTTATTATTAAGAGTCCCATAGAGTACTGAAGTGTCCTGTAGCGGCACTCGCCTCGCAAGCGAGAGGACATTAGGCAAGTTTCCTTACTCCACACGCCTCTCTTTACCCAGCAGTAAGCAGAAACCCAGTTGTTAGTCGATTGGCGGATTGCTTTCTGGGGGGGGGTAATAATTCCATTAAAAAATTAAATAATAATTTGGTCACTTGCTCCACGATAGTTTGCGGGACGCTGCTGTGCACAATCGGCTGCCGCGGTTGCTACATGCTACTGATTATTGTAAAAAGAGAGGAACAGAGGATAGAGGCCCATACAGTTGTCTCGAAGATTTCTGCTTGAAATATTATTGCAATTTTATTTTTACATTATGTTTTTGCAGGAAATGATAAAATAGAAACATTGTAAATAATCTCTCCAAAACGCCGCATATGATAAGATTTGCCGTAAGTTATTGCCACTGTAAATGTTTCAGTGGTGTTTGTAGTTAATGGCTCTTATCTGTGCAAAAAATCGGTCCACCCCTTCGTGTGTTTTTTTTCCCCCCCATAAAAAAATTGCAAGCTAAAAGCACATCATGAGTAATAAAGTGCTGTAATGCTGGCCATAAATTTTAACTGGTATTTATAGAAGGTAACTGTTCTGTATGGCACGATTCCATCCATGTTTCGTATGTCGGGATTGCCCTGCACTTTAACTGACTGAGGAATGCAGCTACAGTTTCGATTTGTGTCAAAGAAATACAACATGATTCTGACATTGCATTTCACAATTTCTTCCTAACCCTAACCGTACCTGCCCCTCCCTGTTCTGACGGTGCACAGCAGTGTCCCACACAGTCGTGGATTGAGTGACCAAATACCTACTCTGTTTTTTTCCTCCCCCCCATGTATAAAGTAAGAGGTTGTCATAGACGCCCAGAATTTGTATGCATTACAGCGCCTGTCTTTAAGGTCAGCAGGATGGACACCTACACATGGAAATTCTCTCACGTGTTTTGCACTGAGCTGCCATCCACCTTGTGAGGGATCAAGCCCACACTTGTCAGATGTCAATTAACCTACTAGTGACTATCCTCCTAGCGGTGGAGGAGGTGGCGACTCCTTGAAGCTGAACTGGCTCAAAGGTGAAATGCTCGGCAACAGAATGTCAGAATTGGGCCAATCCTCCAACCCTCTGTGGCGGCTCGATAGTCCAGTTCCTGAGCCAAGTGGGTCCGCAGTACTTTTGTGCTTTTACTCTAGTACTGCAGATAACAGCACAACCAGGCTGGCTCATTGGCAGGACTTGGGAGGGCAGACTGGTCACTGGGGGCAGGGAATCCTCACACTCAGCTCCTGTTAACCTATTAATTCTTTTGGTCAGCTGGGTTTCTGACACATGTGGAGACCCATCACCATGCTTAAGAATATCCAAACCAAGCTGAGAATTCTATACATCTACACGTGGAACTTCCAGAGATAGATTGTTGGAATGGAAGCACACTCCCTCCCTGGAGGGACACTTCCTGTTTTCCTAATTCCGGAAAGTATTAGGCGCAGGTTGGCAAGAGCCGAGGTTTGGGGACCCCAGAGTGTGCATTGGGGTACTGCTAGATCTAACCAGGCTAAAACCACATAGCTTGCCACTGATATTGCTGTCTGACAAGCTTTCCCTTTTTAACAATGACATTTACTAATAATATTCATGGAAAACCAAACCCAACATATATATCTTTTACATATACATATTGGATCAGTGTTTCGCTGACAAGTGACAGAGGCATCATTGTTCATGAAGAGATTCCAGAGATTTATCTCACCTTGAACGGTGATCTACGTCATCACTGAGACTCTCCTCAGATCTACAGTCAGAACGCATTGCATTTCACATCCAACCACTCGGCTAGCATTAACCCATTCCTTACTGATAGCTCTTAGCCTCTTGACACCGCTGTAGGAACTCATCGCTGCATTCGATGTAATGGTTTATCATTATCAACATTTTCCCAAATTGCTTCACATGATGAGTTACCTTGAAGTGTAGTGACTGCTGTTTAACTACACGGCGGCCGTCTAAAAATGCACCAAGAATGCCAACAAGTGGCAAAGAGATAGAATGACCAAATTTAATCTGTTTTGGTGAATTGGAACCAATGAGAGGAACGTTGACAAGGACACTGGGAGTTTGTTCTGACCACAATTACTCTTCCTGGCAACTGTTCCAGTTGTAAATTACCCCCTGGTTAAAGAAAAACTGCCTGAAATGGCCCTTTGCAACTCTAAACCAGCTTCCTCTCGTTCTGCCATCTCAGTGCACTGTAAAGCGTTGTTTCTGGGTTTACTTTTTCGATCCATTTCTAAATGCGCCTCATATAAGCTCTCCTCTGAGACATCTTCTCTCGAGACTGAGTCTTTGTGATCGGTGTGTCCGGCATTTGTTACCATGCATTCCCTGGAAATGAAAGGCCTCTCCGAGCCATTTCAAAAGGCTTCCAAAGCCATTCAGGACCTGAGCATGGGGTGGGGGGGTTTCTATCCCAACAGAAGATGCTTTATTCTTTCGCTCAAAACATCAACTCCTGCTCCTTAATCCGCAGAGTGCGATTTGGATCTAGTGTCATAACACAGCGCACCGACTGACAGCTGTCTGTCAAGTCGCAACTGTGATAAAAGTAACCTTTGACGTAGGATTAAGAAGGGGACTTCATTCCCATTGACAAATCCTCCAGACTGAATGTGGCTAATATCCTTCAGTGTAATCCGAAGCAGTGCGATTTAGTTGCATGAGGAAAATCTGACCAGAAAGGCTGATCTCTCTCCAAGCGCACATTCTATTCCTTGGCCAACTGTCTGGTGTTTGTTTTGAATTAATTAGCAAGAAAGTACTCAACAGTCCTACAAAAATTCCTTCCAGTGTCGCGAGTGCTGAGATCAGGGCAGCCTAAATCATTTTTATAGCAGTTCACAGCCGGGTTATCGACCCAGCACTTATGCGCCAATTAGTTTTCTTTTATAACCGTACTTTTTAAAGAGCCCCATAAAATGGCCTCCAGTAGAAATGTAATTTGCAACTCAAAGTTTTGCCAAACTCTGTGAAGGGTGTTTTATCACCAGCAGCGTTCTTTCAGAAATGGAGTCACTGTCTTCACAGTGCACTTTGGGGTCTGAGAATTTAAGCAGGTAGTGGTTGCCTTGTGAAGGAAATGACTGTGGAGGGGTTGCGGGGGTGGGTGGGGAAGAAGAGAGTATCAGGGAGGAGAGAGAGAGGAGAAAGACAGCATCATACTTGTTCTTTTTCAACCTCTCCCTCCTCAGAGTTGTCGAAACGTTTCTCCCCACCCACCAACTCAAAACGAAAAATGTACGTTGATCCACTGATTCTTAGGCACTCGGGTGACGTTTGAGGCTAAGAAAGTGTTGGAAATGAGACAAAACCAAACCAAACCCCGCAAAAAAAAGCTTCAACAAATAGTTTCAACATAATAGCTGAGAATTAAGAGAAAAGTCATCCCTCTGAACCAGGAGTAAAATACTGCCTAGTCCCTCCAGGAGCCACTTTCTCACACATCCACAGTGTTCAGTCTCTCCTTAAACAGTAAAGGCTCATATTTACCTCTTTGAACATATACAAGAGATAATGAGGGAGGACGTTAGGAGAGGGAAGGATCGATTCTGCTCTGGAAAAGTATCCAGATTGCTGTTCTCTTTTCACATTTCTCACTCTCTCTTCTCGCCCTCCCCGCCCAACTAACGCACAAAACAAAAAATCCCATTTTTCTTCAAGTTTGCAAGCCATGAACTTTCTCAACATTGAATCCTGGGACTCGACCTTTTAAAATCCCAGCTGGAACACTGATGAGGAGCACTTGGGTTTTAATAACTTGGTACTCCATCATCCAGTGTTAGCATCAACTCACATTTTCCATCCCGTAACTCTTAATTGCTTCACAAATACATTAAAAGTGTCGACTGCTGCTCTGTCACCCTGATCTATTTGCTGATGGTTGCATTTGCGAAAAGCAATAATAATAACCCATGAATTTGATATAGTGCCTTTCACATTGAGAAGACATCTCAAAGCATTTCATAGGATTTACTGTAATGTGTCGTGATCATTTATTTTGTAGGCGAACTCAGCAGCCAATTGGCACATAGGAATGTCCTGCGAATAGCCAGGAGGTGAATGTCCAATTTTATCTGTGGGACTGTTGGTCAGGACACTGGGAGAAACTCCCTTCTCTTTTCAAATGGTGCTTGGACTGTGAGTTCAAAGTCACATCAAGGGGTGAGATATGATCGAAAGCTTGGTCGAAGAGGTATGTCTTCAGAAGTTTTGAGATGAGGCCAAAATCGCTGGGTATATTTCCTCTCAATTTACCATGTCCGGTGAGAAACAGGTATACCCTCACTCTTATTAGCAGTACCCCTTAGCCAATACAGATGGTGATCGCTGATAAAGATTTATTTGACCGTGCCCACGCTGGGAACACAAAGTGAAGCTTAACCTTCTCGGGTGAATGGTAGAGCACATGTATATGCACATCATCAGACCAATGACTCCTGGTGTCAGGTAGAATTCCACTCCTGGAATAGGAACCATGGTTACTGCTGCAGGGGGTGTGTCACCATACACTTTGAGAAGAGTGTCTTTTACCTAGTATCCTCATGCTGGAGCCATTCTGTTTGGAGTCTTTACTAACCAGCTGCTTTATCCACAAGGTTGGTGCTGTGATTTCTGAAAAAAAGAATTTTAAAAAGTAAAAGTATATACCAATAGATTTCTGGTCCGATGGACTCCTATGTGCCAAGTCTACACCCGTTCAACAACAACAACACTCCCTGTAACAAATAGATTCAATTGATTTTGTTGCATTTCATTTTCATCTTATCTGTGGGTGTCTTTTTTATTTAATCCCCTTTCCCTCCCCTCCTGATCACAAAGTCAATATAGCGCATCAGTCGTAAAGAAATCCAGTGGATTCATTTAATTAATTTAATTCCCCCCCAATATAAAACTGTGGGGTTTCAGCAAAGACTCACCGTCTCCATCGAACACTGGCTGGGTCTCTGCAGTCGGTGTGGGCTTGGACACGTCTTCTGAATTTAGAGTTAGAAAGAATTGAAAAGAAACTACCATTATTGAGGTAAATACTATCTACTCTCCAGCACTATTGAATGATGGGATTTGCACATGGCCCGGCCACTTTGAAAGACAAACACAACAGGTATGAAAGTAGCAGAGAGAGAGAGAGAGAGAGCAAGAAGCAGATAGCACACTGAAAGCCACGAAAGATATTCACCTCAGAGAGAGACGTGCCTTGCACATGGCAGCCTCCTGTCCTCTCACGGTTGGAGATATGGAAGGTAAAGCACAGAGCATGCTTTTTACAAGATAAAGATCAGGATCATTCGGGATAACACCTTCCTATAATCGGTGTAATTAGGAGTCAAAACTAACAAAAAAATTCAGACATTACTGGGGGCCTCCACTCCCAAAATATTTCGGGATTTTATCATAGCCTCAACTATAATATTAATACTTGCATTTGAGATAGTGCCTTATCACATCGTTGAGATATCTCAAAGTGCTTCAAACCCTAGGCAATTCCCTTTGACGTGTAGATAATAGGGCCCATCATGTGCTTAAAAAAAAGTGATCTTTCCATTACATTTTAACATTGGGATTGTCAGTAAACTGCATGCAATAATCCCAAAAATGTATGACATATTGATTCCACAGGACCTATTGAACCGGTGTTACAGGTCAGAAAGCTGTATATAAGAATGACCCTTGCCTTTTTTTTAAAAAAACAAAAACACAACTGCAACCAGTGATTTTAAAACTAAAGAGTCCTCAGTTCCCTTGTTAATCTTGACTCCTTGCTCGGCCACTAAAAGCAATAACCAAAATTCTTACGGCTATGAAGTGACAGAGCATAGACACTAACCATTTCAGATCCTTAAGAAACTACATTAGGAACAAATCAACTTCTATGCATGCGGGCAGCCACTAGCAACACAGCAATCTGAACACTGAAGTAATGATTTACATTACGAGCCTCTATCAGCTAGGCAAACAAGCAAGCGAAAGTAAAGATCAGAAACACTGTTCAGAGAGAGAGAGAGAGAGAGAGAGGACGGACAACTTAAAACAAACTATCCGAAACAAATCGAGTACTTAAAACAAAATCTGTCTAATATGCAGTAAATGTTTTACCCATTAATGTTGCAAGCTCCAAAGTAAGAGGCAAAAAGGGAGAAAGTTTTTGTTTAAACTCTGGTCAATATAAACAAGAGAGATTCTACTGCTTTAGTTTACTCTGGAACACTTAACCCTGCTTCTTGCAATGCCTCGCATGTCCAGATGGTATGTGCTGTAAGATATTCTGATTTTTTTTGCAAGCTGCTAAGAGAAACATTGGCACTGAATGGGTTAATAACACAAGTCACACTCCAGCAGCTGTAAAGGGAGAAACACGGCTGTAAGTCCCGTACCCTGCTCACAGTCAGCCCTTCACAGTAAACCGGTTGAGCTTATTTTATAAAAACTACATTCACCACACGCAAAATAAACAGGCCGCCAGTTCACTAAAAGTGAACCCAAATGTGCCTCTTCTTCCACATAAAGTATCGCTCGTGGACTATGAAAGCACAACCCAGCACCTCAGTCTGTGAGGCCGTTGCATCAATAGAAGGTCGATTGTTCTCTGCTAAATGAAATGATCTCAGCTGGGTCTGCATTGATCGCTGTAACCCCTCAGCTAGGGAATGAGGGGGGGATCAAGGATCGGGGAACGAGGAAAAATCAGCCAAGGTTCCTTCCTGCTCATTGTTATCCAGTGACCTTTTCCAGAGAGGGCTTGTGTGGATCTTAGGCAAAGGCATAATTGAGCTCCACTCTGGGAACCACATACGAAAGAATGGTGGCAACGATAATAATAATAATCCTTGCATTTGATATAGTGGCTAATTATGTCGCTGAGACGTCTCAAAGCGCTTCACAGAATATATTGTCAAGTGGAATTGACTGCATGTTTACAACTAAACGTTGACAAGGTGGAAGCCATATTCCTTGGCTCCCGTCAACATCTTCTGCCCTGCGGGTTGGACCTCCTCAACCCCCCCGGCCTATCCCTCAGACTCACCGAACCGGTGCGCAACCTAGGCGTTAGGTTCGACCCATAGCTGTCACTGACACTCTTTGGGAGAAGGGAGATGGGTGAACCATCCTGAACCCCATCTGTTCTCATTCACTGATGTTAGTATTGTTCCCTGCCCCCCCACCCCAGTTCTTCAGCTCTCTCTCTTCTCTAAGGACCAACTTGGGAACCCACATGGCCACCCTCCCGGACAGTGACTGTGCTCAGGGTAGGTACCATTGAGATATTCAATTGGTGTTCTTCAGCAGACAACTATTATTGAGCAATGCACTCTTGCTGTGTGTGCAGTGTGTGTGTCTCTCTCTCTCATATTTATAGCTCCCGAGAGACGTGGATTATCATGTTTGGGGAAAAACGTTTAAAAGATAACCTCTCGTCAGGCAGCTACTAGCGGAGTAGATGTTGTGCGTTGTTAATTCCAGCTGCGTCTTGGGCTCAGAAACAGCCAGTGCCAATTGTACAAATGTATTTTTCCCTCCTTTTTATTTAAAATAGAGGGAAAAAATACAATAAAAGGGATTCCACTTATCCCGGGACTACTTTATCTTCTCTGTTTGCGTTGACTAGATGCAAGAGAGTGTGCATCATCACAGATTACAATTTAATAATAACAATAATAATCCTTGCATTTGATATAGCGCCTTATTATGTCATCGAGACATCTCAAAGCGCTTCACAGGATATGCTTTAAAGTGGATTGACTGTGTTTTGTGGGCGAAACAATTTGGCTTCCACCAATCAAAATGCATAAAGTGAAATTTTTTTCTGGACAATTTACTTTTAAGTGCACACTAATAGCACTCAGGCCTTTAATTGATTCCCCACACCACTTCATACCTTTTGTCAAGCGATAGTGATTTAATCCTCTTCCTGATTCTCGCGCTTGTCAATGGTAATCCTCATCAAACGCTTATCTGTAATCAACACTGCCTAATCTCTCCCCACCCTTCCCTTCAAACAGCCAACTATCGCTCCTTTTCTCCTCCAACAACCCACCTCACTGCCTTCCTAATAACACGATTAATAACAATCGTTGCATTTGATATAGAGTGTTATCACATCATTGAAATGTCTCAAAGCACTTCACAGGATACACTGTAAAGTGGAGTGACTGTATTTTGTGGGAACAATGCGGCAGCCAGTTACCAACAGCAATGTCCCACAAACATTCACGGAGTTTGGGGGATTGTTAGCCAGGACACCAGGAGAAACTCCCTTCTCAAATAGTGCCACAGGATCTTTAACATCCACCTGAACAGACAGTGTATCTTGTGGGTTATTTTGTGTTGTGTGTTCCAAAGGGAATCGTGGGCACGAGGGGTACTAACAGGACAGAGCCCGGCCCATGAATCACACCCCCTCTTTTGTTCAGTAAATGAACCGCTTCAAAACAATCAGAAACAACGGCCGTCTAAACCTGGGTTCAGTTTGTGGTCCTAATGAGTCCTGACAACTCAGTGAAAGGCCTTCAAGCTACTTTGGCACCAAGTGTTATTCTAATAGGGTTTGTACAGTAAAAAAATATATAGGCTTCCTAGTGCCAAACCTCACTTACTGTGTACATATTTATATGTTCTCTATCTACGGTACCTTACCCAGAGCAGTAGAGCTTGAGGGCACAATTAATAAGGTTGAGGGAAAGAGGGAGAGAGAAAGAGAGATGGGAAAGGGGGGGTGGGGGGAATTGCCTCTCTTCTCTCTCTCTCTGCAGGTGCAGGCAGATAAAGCAGACACTGTCTGTGTCAAAGATCTTAGCTTCCGCTCTCCACCACAGAAAAAAAAGAGGGGGTGGGGGTTAAAAAATAAAGTGTCAAATACAGGCAATGCGATTGTGCCTCGTTGCCTCCTACCCCCAGGCTGCCCAAGCACACACACAGGCAGCTGGGAGTCCCTCCAGCTCCCCACGTTCAGAATTCAAAGCCCCCATTCTGCCTTTCAGATCTGATTGACAAATTCACTGTTTGAGGAGAAATATGTTAAAACGCAAACAATGTTGATCTTCACCCCTATTACCGCTGACTTTTCAGAGCTCCGCGTGTTGGTGTTTTGAAAAGCACACAAGAGAGAAGGGACCACAGTCGCTTTAAAAAAGACGGCAGTCAATAGAAGAGTTAATTGTTTGGAGTGTACAATGCGCTTATTCTGAAGGCAGAACAAAGGGCTCCCTCTCTCTCTCTCTCTGGATTGCTTCTGCACTCCATGTAATACTGCTCAAACAGACCATCTTAACCTGCCTGTTTAAGTCTACGGCTGGAATTGCAACACAGTAAGATTTAGTACTGCAGCATCGTTTGTTAAAATGACTTTTCTGCAGATATATAATAAATAATAATCCTTGCATTCGACGTAGCACTTTAAAATGCTTCACAGAGTATGAATGACCGTGTATTTTATGGGTGAAACGCGGCAGCCAATTGCACTGTCCCACAAACAGTTGTGGATTGCGTGACTACATTTTTTGGTGGGGAGGCATTATTCCCCTGGAAAGCGATCCACCAAACAACTAGGTTTCTACATGCTGCTAGGTAAACAGAGGCGTGTGAAATAAGGAAACTTGCCTAAGATTTCGGCCCACTCGGGAATCAAATCTGGTCCTCTTGTTTCCGGGATAAAAGTACCTTGTGCGCACAGAGCTTGTTTTTTTTAAACATATAAAATGAGTTTCTTTAGACACAGGTGAGCAAAAAAAGGCTTGGGGACTCCACAGTATGCATTAAGGCACTGCTGGAGTTTAACCGGATATAACAGTGTAACTTATCATTGGCACACAGCACTCTGCTTGTCCAGCAAGAACCACCTTACCCATTGGGGCTTTGGTTTGCAGGTTAATGGGAGGAAACGCTCTGAGATGCTACCCTGAGTGGAGGGCGCTATATAAGTGCAAATTGTTGTTGTTGAATCTCTGGCCCAGTGACTGGTCTGCCCCTCCAAGGCCGAGTAACAATACAAGCCGAATAGAGTAAGTTCAGCCTTATACGATGGCTCAAATCTCCTGTGCTCCAGCACTTGGTTCCCAGACACAAGGTTGTCGAGTTGAAAGCCTCAGAATCAAGACTCATTTGGGTCAGTTAAAAGGGGGGAGGTGGGTGTCATTGTGGTGTTAGCTTGTGAGGTGGCAACTGGGAGACCGGTCAGGAAGGGAAAGCTGAGGTCGTGCCTCTCACCTACAGAAATAACAAGAATAGTCCTTGCATTTGATATAGCGCCTCATCACGTCGTTGAGATGTCTCAAAACATTTCACAGAATATACACTAAAGTGGACTGACAATATTTTGTGGGCGAAACAAAGTTTACTGTTGCCTATTGGTGAAGTGGAGGGGGTGGGGGGGGGGGAGAGAAAAAGAGAATGAGAGGTGGGGGAAGAGTAGAGACAGAGAGAAGGGAGAGAGAGGAGAGAGAGTGTGGGGGAGAGAGATAGAGGAACTTCTGGGGAGGCCCAGAGGGTGTCCTATTTCCAGGTGCAATAAGAAGCTCAATGAGCAAAAAGCCTCCAGGGGAATGAAAGAAAAACACAATTAAGAGAAGAGAGGAGAAAACAGCTGGGGTCACAATGAGCTCACTGACTGCTGCAAAGCCCTATGGCCAGCATTGGACACTGCAGACTTGTTAAACAGTAATTTAGACCAATTACATGATACAGGCTTTTCTATCTGAAGGTCTATTTAGGTTGACTGTGTTAGGTTGATTTAGTGTTGTTGGAAACGATTTTATGGTACTTGGTTCTCCTTGTCTTTTGATTGAAGTGCTGCATTAAGGGGGCATGATGGAGATTTATCCACCCAAACAGTAACAGTTCAGCCACAGGAAATGCTTTTCCAGGGGTCCCGTCCCAATGTGAACCCTTTGCTCTTTGATCCCTCCACAGTATATCAGAGAGATCTGCCAGGGAGCAGGAAATCACAACCAAGCAGCAAAAATATCAAGCAATGAGAGGCTGAGACATCTCAAAACGCTTCACAGAATACACTGTATTGTGAATTGACTGCGTATTCTGTGTGTGAATCACAGCGGTCAATTGCGCACAGAAGTGTGGTAGGGAATTGAAGCCGCTGACTTGGGAGTCACACCTTGAGTTACCAGGTCAATCATCTCAACGACATCTCTGGTCAGCAGATATTGGGGTCCGGTGACTGGACACCACAGCAGAGTTAAAGTAGCTGACCTAGTGGCCAGCAATCACAGTGTCAACTGCTCAGTCAGCTCATAGCATTCGGGTTACCTGTGTAAATCTTGGCTGTAGAGTAATGGTGTTGAATTTAGTCCATGTACAAAACAAAATGAACACCCTGCATCGCCAACAATGTAATCTCAGTGGTTTCCTAAGAGCCTGAATGTGACTTGTTTCTCTGTAAAATCGATGCTCACTCTGCCACTGAAAGCGATATTCCTGCAGCAGGAAGCTGTGCAATACTAAGCACGAGTCACAAATCAGAGACTCACAGAAAGGCTCTTATTGGGGTTCCACTTTGTCCCGCTTTAAGCATCTGGACCTAACCACAGTGGACCTTCTAACTGATGGCTCATAATAAGGTTTTTCTGTGGGGGTGGGGGCGGAGAGGCATATTTTTTTGTCACCTGGCAGGCAGTCACTGGAGAAGGGTCCGGAGTGGAAATCTTGACTGATTTTCCCTTTCTAACTCATGGGGGAGTGAGGACAATTGCTGAACCCCCAGCCAACCAACTGATCTTACGGCAAAGGCAAAAGTCCCATTAAATAAAATCTCCAGTCAGTAGATCATTAAATGGTAACGTCACACATTAATCTATCACTAAAGCTTTCGCAAACACAGCACAGGATCATTTTACTGTCTGGTTGCATTTGTAATAACGTCCACAGCACCGCAAAAATCCCTGTGCTTCAAAAGATATTTCAAACGCAAATCCAATGATAATAATCCTTGCATTTGATGTAGCACCTTTTCACATCTCCAAGATGTCCCCAAGCTCTTCACAGAATACACTGTAAAGTGAATTGACTGCATATTTTGTGGGCAAAATGCAGCAGCCAATTGTGCACAGCGGTCTCCCACAAACAGTCATGGATTGAGAGACCAAATTATTTTTGTTTTGAAGGGATTATTACCACTGGAAAAGCAATCCACCAATCAACTAAAAATGGGTTCCTACTTAGTGCTAGATAAATAGAGGTGTGTGGAGTAAGGAAACTTGCCTAACATTTCATGCTGCCTAGAAATCAAACCCAGGTCCTCTCACTTGCAAGGCAAGTGATCTATCCAATACTCCACAGGACTCCACATTGTCCATGAGAGAAGGGAAAATCAGAAGCCAGAACATAAACAAACCAACTGCTCCAGCTTCATTCATCTCCTTACAGCAACAATGCAGCTATCAGAGGGCTTCTCAGACTAGATGGTAAAGAGGCATGCAACACAGTCCACTGACAATGCAGCTACAAATCGATACAATATGCGACCGCTCAATTTTCTTTTGTGTAAAAGAGGAAAGGGAGAACCTAATTCTGATTCAAAGGTCACAACAAGACCAATTCTACCGCTTCCCTCCGCCCCAAAAGAAACACACACTAGTCTGACCATAACCCGGGCATTCATTAGCATGCAGTATAGAGACCACAAAGGTCTGTACTCAGGTGTGGAACTGAACTCACCTTTTCTGCCTGAACTGCCTTGCCCTGAGGGCTTATCAGTGGCCGAACCTTCAAAATAAAGAGATTATTTTAACACAGCGTCGACTGCAAAAGACTTAGGGACCATCCATTTGCAGGTCACCCTTTTCACATTGCACAGAAATTACTCTGAGGGTCGGTGGGAAATTATACTGAATGTCTGATCTTTGAATTCAATGTACATATACAAAAACAATTGGATTTTATTCACAGATTACTTTGCTGAGCCAATTGGGAACGATCCAAGGAGAATTTCTGTACTTCGTATCATTGAGAAAAGAGTCCAAATATGGATGGCCCCTAATGTGTAGAGCGACTTGTTAAAGATTGCACTTTGCACCATTTGCGTATAAGTGTTTTCAATAATGCACCTCCCTGGCAAGTTATCACTGTAATTCATTACAGGTTTGTCTGCAAAGCCACAGTCACTTCAATGTACAATAAATCCTGTGAAGTACTTTGAGATGTGCTGACATAAAGGATGCTATATCAAACATACAAATAATAATTAAGAAGCGTTGCATTTGGTATCAGGAGGACATCTCAAAGCACTTCACAGGAGTTTACTGTAAAGTATAGTGATTGTGTACTTTGTAAGCGAATATGGCAGCCAATTTAGACACAGCAATACCCATAAACCAAGGTTGTCAGATGTTTCAGGCTGCTTGCTTATTTTCTTTTCCTCTAATATGCTCCTCCCTCTCTCTATCTCTCTCATCTCCCGTCCCATCCCCCCACAGTGTTCTCTCATCACCCTCTTCAGGAATGCTTCACCTGCTGTCTGTCCTGAGAGGGACTAATAGAAGGTACTGGGAGGAGATGGGTTGCTGTATTCAGGGAGGCTGTTCCTTGGAGAATTCAACAACGGTTAGACAAGCGAAGGTTCTTCAGTCTTGAGAGAAGATGACTCAGAGGTGTACAAGATTGTAAATAGGATTGAAAAAATAAACCCAGATCAATACTTTAGGATGCATCAAGGAAGTAGAACAAGAGGACACGGGTTTAAAATTCTACAGGGCAATTTCAGGACAGACACCAGGAATTTTTTTTTACTTTACGCAGAGTGTAATCAACTGGAACAGGTTGCCAAAAAAGGCGAGTAGAGGCCAGGACACTGGATTCATTTAAAAAGCAGCTCAATGCAGTGATGGGGAGGCGTAGAATAATTGTTCTGGAGGGGTGAGATCAGATGGGCCGAACGGTCTTCTTCATCCAAACCGACCCTTTGATCCTGTGACCTTCCAAAGGCAATGTTGCTTATGGAGCAAAGCCAGGTTACATCAACTTTCAAACAACAGATGTTGTTCTTGTGCTTCCAGGCAGAGAGAAGGGGATGGCATGCCTTTCACTCCCTGTCCCTCCCCCAGCCTGGAAGGGTAAGAACAAGACCATCTGTTATTTGCTAACGCAAGTCTTGAGGTAGCTGCCAAGAGACGGGCAACAGTTTGCATTGCGCTTGGATCTCCATCCAGTTACTGACTTGGGGGTAGAGGGAGGTGAGGGACAGACTGTCTCACCATCCGATCTGGAGACCATCCATCATGATAAAGATCCGCTTTCTTTGTCTCTTGACTCGAAATCTGTTTGACATCTCAAAGCACTTCACAGGATTTTACCATGAAGTGTAGTGACCATGTATTTTGTAGGTGAACGCCTTCTCCGGACGACGGGGTTCCAAGAGGAGAAACCTGTTCTGATGCTTTGTACTTTCCGCTTTCTGTGTCGGTTTCAGAACTACATACAGCAAAGGGGTAACTCACAGGCTCTTGTAACCTGGTGTTGCTGTGTAAGTTACAAACATCACCATTGAACATCATCATCTGGCTGTGCTGATAGAGCCTAACTGTTTAATAAGATGCTGTGGTCTAAAACGATATGAAAAAGTTAAAAAAACTGAGCACATGAAAAATCAAAGATGGGGAATGTTTACACTGTGACTGACTAGGAATAGCTAACATCTGGGGTCACGTATTACAATGCTTTTGGCCTAAAGAGTAACGCACAGACAGGTTCACAATCTTAAATAAAAGAGAGCAGCCTTGGAGAAAGACTTCAGTATGAGGTGCTGTACCTGAACAGACGGGTCTTTGGTTTTTAACAGAAGATCCACTCACGGGTTTCCCATCAGGAGTCACACACCAGCAGTATCCAGTGAACGTATGGCACTGCACCTGGTGACCCAGAAAGAGAGGGAGAGAAATTCACATTGTTTAGTGATTGTACCAATCAAGTCTGTAATAATGACCCAGAGAGTTAGAGAGAATTACACTGTTTACCGATTGCACCAGCCAGTCTGTAAAGAGTCCTGTAGCTCAGGGGTTAGAGCACTCGCCTCGCAAGCAAAAGACCTGGGTTCGATTCCCGGCAGGGCGAAACACTGGGCAAGTTTCCTTACTCCACACGCCTCTGTTTACCTAGCAGTAAGTAGGAACCCGATTGTTAGTCGATTAGCGGATCATTTTTCCGGGGGTAATAATTCCTTCCTTCCAAAAAAATCACATTGGTCACTAAAATTCCCGACTGTTTGTGGGACAGTGCTGTGCACAATTGGCTGCTGTGTTTCACCCACAAAATATACAATCAATTCACATTATAGCATACTCTGTGAAGCGCTTTGAGACATCTAGAAATCGTGATAAGGTGCTATATCAAATGCAAGGATCATTATTATAATGACCTACAGAGAAAGAGAGAAAATTACACTGTATACTGATTGTACAGGTCAGTCCGTAATAAGACCCAGAGAGAGAATCACAATATTTAGTGATTGTACCAGCCAGTCTGTAACTGATCCCACTCTATAAACTGAGAGGGGAGAGGTAAGCTGCAAAGTAGATTGGCAGGAGCCAAGCTGTGGTCCGAAGGATTATTCCCTGAGGAAAGAAAAGCTCTGTGCCTTACAGAGCAGATCCGGGTTACATCAACTTTCAAATAACAGATGGTGCAGTAACTCTTGAGTTTATTTACACAATGCATCTACACCTCTGAGCACTGTACCATGCTGACACTATCGAATCCAAACTCCTAGTTCCTTGCTAACCCAGCCCAGCCACACTCACGTCAGATTCAAACCCATTATGCCACTGTGTTCAGCCTACTGTTCATTCCTCACCTTCTCTGTCCCACTGTCAGTGGCCAGGCCTTAAGCCCTTTGTTTTTTCTCTCTATAAATCTTTTCGCTACGCTCCACTCTCTCACTGCAATTTCAAAACCCTCCGGGAAAAGAAAATCTTTTTTTGACCATGCCTAAAATCTGACCATACACTCCCGGGGCCATAATTAGAATGTTTTAATGTTGAGAAAGGGTCAACGACCTAGAGTTCTGCCTCTTTTCCTGTGTACAGCAAACCTTGGTTAATCTGTAATAGCCGAATAAATCACAGCTTTGAATCACCAAATGTTTTTAATCCTATAGTCCTAACTCTCAGACAACACAGTGGCCTTCTACCCCCCCACCCCCAAAACAGCCTCAAGGTACGTCTCTAGACAAAGCACCCTCACTCCCCCCCCCCATAGCTCCCATTGATTCTCAAGCTGAAACAGATGGATTAAAGTCAATAGAGAAATGTGGGCAATACTCTTATGATGCATTTCTATTGTAAGTCCCTATCAGTCGGTGTTAAAAATTGGTCACTGCACAAAATTATACATGTGCAGCTTGGGCCACCCTACCCACTGAGGCGATGGTTTGCAGTGTTGGAGAGCGATTGCCTTGGATACCTGGAGACAGACCCACTCATTTCATCCTCAGTGTTCCTTCCTCTACAGGGACACAGCAGGGAGCATTACAACAGGACCTTTAAATAGTGCAGTGTTTCGATCAGTACTATTCATGATATCACACAGTATCAGACAGGGCTTCGGTCACAAATTGGGATGAATTTGAATTGTTCATGGCAGCATTTAAATACAAACTGCATAAATACTTATGGAAAAAAATACTATTCGTAAAGGGCATGAGAGACCATCAGGGGAATGGGATTCGGAGTAGCTGGCTCCCTTTGGGAAGAAGCGTGCACCAGGATGGACACAGTTGATGGAATCCCCTTGTGGGAATGGCCTTTTGCTGACCGCTGAAAAGTTAGCGTGCAATTCAGTGCCATTTATTTCCCATGTGAAAACAGCTTGCACCCGGAGTGCCTGAGCAATGCCTAACAAGGCGCCTGTGTGTCTCGGTCTCAATGGTTTCCACCCAGAGTGGACTCCCACGATGCCTGGTCTAAACTGACTCCATCCTGCTGCCCCACGTTGACAGCAGACTGAATCACTGCACATTGTTAGATTGGTGCGAGAGGTCACACAGCAGGAGGCCTGAACTTGCCTCGCGGAGAGCTGAGCATCCGCCAACATCAACAAGGGCCACATAGCTCTTCCCCCGAGTGCAAGATGATTCATTCGATGCTGAGGCCCCCATGCAATAAGACAGCCCGACGTTTTAAAAAGGAAAAAAGAACAAGAAACGAAATGTATACATCGTTAAGGATATGCCCTCGCTAAAGCAAAATAACCTGTCAGATTGCTAAACTTGTAGCAGCATCAGAGGCTGTGCCAAGACAGAGTCAACCATCTCTCCTTGGCAATAGCATTAATCTATAACATTTTTTATCCTGTTCAATGAAATATTCTGTTGGCAAAACATTCCGCTGGCAAAGGATTCTGCAGTCCTGCACGGCAGTGTAAATTATGGCTCTTTGGACTGTGATGCGGTCATGTTTTAGACATTATTAGATTAGAAGACATATATTTAAGTTGCTGCATACTGAGCGTGTCTCTTCTCCCTCCTATCCACCTCCCCAAGCAAAGTTGATTCCCAAAGACAAACTACTTTAAGCGGTACAGGATTGAGAGAGTAGTGCACTCTCAGCACTTCTTGGTCTGGCCATCAGTATGACCCCCATCAGCCATCATTGAGTGTTGAGGTGGGCAACTCCCTGCCCAGCGGTTGTGGATTTTGAGTCCCCGGGGTTGGTAACGCAAATTTTAGTCTGACAACCACAATACATGCAAGCTCTTGTCAGCTCTCGGAGGAGCTGGGGTGGGGGAGAAAATGAGCAGGAAAAGGAGACACATGAAAAAGAAAACCTGTCAAAAGAAAGTAATGTCAGTGATGCATACAATTGTACAATTCAGGAGCAGGCCATTCAGCCCAACCGGTCTGTGCCAGTGTTTATACTCCACACAAGCAGCCTTCCTATAGTATTGTATTTTTTTGCAAATTGGCTAAATTCTTTGTAGTTTCTGTATCCCGTTAATTTCACAGCAGCTGATCACAAGATCGGTTTGGATGAAGGAGGCCCTTGGGCCTATTTGATCTCATCCTATTTGAATGCCCACCTTACCATCCAGCTGTATTTTTTTAAAAAATGATTCTAACGTCCTGATCTCAACCACCGTTCCTGGCAACTGTTCCAGTGATTAATCTACCCTGATGTGTTGTGGTGCCGCATTTTGTCACTCTAATGCCACACCTACAAAAGTCTGATACTGTATTTGATTCACTGATGTTAGGAGGGGCTGAACCTCTCATCTCCCTGAAGTTAGCATGTGGAATTTGAGGAAGAGAAAGACAAAACCCAATGCTGTTAGTTTTTTTTTTGTTAAACGCCACTCAGAAGCAATGCATGTCGAGAGCAGGGTTAGTGAGAAGAGGCAAGCGAGTCTAGGTTGACCAATCACTTTCAGTGGAAATAATCATCCTTGCATTTGGTATAATGCCTTATGTTGTCAACAGGTCTCACAGGATTTTACTGCGAAGCGTAGTGACTGTGTACTCTTATGCCTGTTCATTACCTGAGAAAATGAACCATCTTCATTACATTCAGGGATGAACACAGGGTCCTGTGGTTTTTTCGCTTGCTCCTGTGCTTGCTGCGCCCTTTCTGTCCGACACTTTGTTGGGCCCGCGTCTGAAAGAGAAAAAAAAACAGTGAAATTGCAGCAGTTTAGTCTTTGTGTCACTTAAAACCAAAACGATAATCCAAGTATTTGATACATCATCTCGTCATGTCAAGTGCTTTACAGTAATTATGGTTAAAGTGTAGTGACTGTGTACTTGTAGGTGAATTCGCCAATTTGTAAATAGCAGTGCCCCCAAAACAGACTGGGGGAGAGTGACCAATTTAACAGGAGACGATTGTTGCTCAGGACTCCCTTCTCTCATTTTGACTAAAGTCCAAGTGAACAAGCAGGCTGGAAACTGATTTGATGTCTCATAATCATTTGGTATAGTGTTATAGACATAGACATGGTATAGACATTAAAGTGCTTCACATTTTTACTATAAAAGTGATTGTACGTTTTGGGGGCAAATGCGGCAGTTAATTTGCCACAGTAATGGCCTACAAACAGCCACGAATTCGATAACAAACTTTATTGCTTTCATTCGCAAGTCAGTCTAAGATGGCCCTCCAATGCAGTGCTGAGGATTTGGAATGCACTGCCTGAAAGGGTGATGGACGCAGATTCGATAGTAGCTTTCAAAAGGGAATTGTATAGATATTTGAAAAGGAAAAATGTGCAGAGCTATGGGGTAAGGACGGGGGAGTGGGACTAATTGTTTAGCTCTTTCAAAGAGCTGGCACAGGCACGATGGGCCGAATGACCTCCCTCTCTGCTGTAAGACTCTATAATTCTATAATGAAAGCAAAATGAAGGCCACAGCGGCTGACATGGAAAATATTACAATAGGAAATGTTCTTTTGAGGATATGGTTCATAGCTAAGGCAGAGCAGGGGCCCTTTAGTATTTTGCTTCTAACACCTGTAATACCAGGCCTGGGGAACTTTGACACAGACAGGAAGAAAATTAAATGGAAAGTTATTTCATTCTTTTGGGCTGACCTGCCTCTCATTGATTCACCTTCAGCTCAAGTGTGTCTGACCAGGGGTAAACTTACGGAAAGCGCAGAGGTGAAAAAAAGGCAAGTAAAAGAATACCACAATCTACGACTGTTTGTGGGACACTGCTGTGTGCGTTTTGCCCACGAAATATACAGTCAATTCACTTTACAGTATATTCTGTGAAGCACTTTCAGATGTATCGAAGACATGGTAAGGCGCTATATCAAATGCAAGGATTATTAATATTATTATTACCACCAACAAATGAAAACAAGATTAATGATGAATACTGTAACTTGTAACATTTGATTTTCCTGCTAAAGCTGTTTTGCTGAATGTTTCTAACCTCAGGGGAACACATTTTATAATGCCATAAATCTGTATTATTTTTGTCATCCATTGCCATGAGGTTTAGGCTATGTGAACACACATATGATTGAAAGGGATAAGTGAATGTGCAAGTGGATGGTGATGAGTGTAACACTTGGATGAACAGCAGATGAAACAACAAAGCCTCGCAATGCCGTTGGCTTGCTTCAAACACTTTTCCCTAACTGCTGTCACTGAGTGCTGTGACTGTGAGTTAGCCTGGCTCAGGTGTAGCACTCTCACCTCTGAGTCAAAAGGTTGTGGGTTCAAGTCCCACCCAGGACGAGACGTTAAACCGAGGTACAGTCTGCCTGTTCAGATAGATGTTAAAGATACTATTTTATATTATATTTTATATTATAAATGGCACTATTCGAAAAGAGAAGGGAGTTTCCCTCTCCCAGTGTCCTGGCCAACAATCCCTCAAATAAAATTATACATTCATGCCTTGACTGTTTGAGGTACATTGCTGTGTGAAAACTGGCTGCTGTGTTACGTCCACAAAACACACAATCAAAAAATACTTTATAGTAAATCCTGTGAAGTATTTTGAGCAGTCTTAACGCAATTAGGCGCTATATTGTACATGATGCACAACTAACCGACTAGCACTGTATTGAAGGGTGTTATAATGGGATTGGGTTCCCCTGCATAATAATATATAATCCTTGCATTTCATAAAGTGCCTTATTGCGCCGTTGAAATGTCTCAAAGGGCTTCGCAGGATTTTTGCAGTGAGGTGTAGTAACTGCGTTTGTAGGTCAGTAATGTGCGTTACCTTTACATCTGCCGCGGTGTGTGATCTCCAGTGTTGAATCCCTGCACTTGGCTCTCAGATAATCGCATCTTGATTCGTACGTTCTGCCGTCAGACACGCACAGTGGCTTCACCTGGGAGTTAGAGCAATGCACATTGCACTCCAGGTCTCGGTCACGATCTCCTATTAGAAACTGATGATAAAAATTCTATACATATCAAAGAGCTCAAACAATGAGACCTTTCATACAGAATGAGCATATTCATGGTTTCACAAGACAAAGGCAATGTTTACAATACCATACACTATACATAGCGTCTTTCACATCAGGTGGACATCTCAAATTGCTTTAAGTCTGACTTGAAAGGTGCTGTATCAAATGCAAGAATCAATAGTTTTGATTATTGTTAACGGTGGTGATGGAACACATTGGCAATTTTTTAAAGTTGTGAATAGCTCTTCAGATGGGACGTTAACTGAGGTACCATCTGCCTCTTCAGGTGGATGTTAAAGAACTCATAACGCTATTTAAAAAGAGAAGGGAGTTTCTCTCTCCTGGTGTCCTGGTCAACAATTGTCCAAATAAAATTGGTCACTCACTCCACAGCTGTTTGTGGGACATTGCTGTACGCAACTGGCTGCTGCGTTTCGCTCACAAAATACACACTTTATAGTATATCCTGTGAAGTGCTTTGAGACATCTCAACAATGTGAAAGGCACTATATTAAATGCAAGAATTATTATTAGCTGCAGCATCTGCCACTGCACAGCCAGTGTAGATCTGGAGCAAACAGAGATATGCTCCTTGAGGGAGTTTCATGTCATATCTGCTAGGTTTTCACATACTTACTGCTTACTTCCAGTCAATCTGATTTAAGATTATGTATGCAGTGCAGTTATCTCCATTTGTTTGAGGAAGAAATTTGAGGACATAAAGCACACTGCGAAGTTCCCCCACTCTGTCTTTCAGCCCCATCCATACAGTGCGATGGAGCAAAAATGTTTATACATGACAGTTTATATTTGCATATGCATGGTCGGGAATATGGGCTTTGCTCTCACTTCACCTTCATTAAAAGTTCTGTTTCTATTCATTTGCTTGAATAAATCTGTATCATTTGAAGTTGGACTGCACATGCAAAAATAAACAGTCCCACCACTTGGCGCTATGCAAATGCAATTTGTATTGTATTTACACTGTTTCCTGTGAAGCGCTGGGAGGCGTCGCAACGATGTGATACGCACTATATAAAATGCATGTATTATTATTGATTATTATTATCTGTTGTTGCAAATTGCCCCCCACCCACCCATTTGTTCCTGGAGGCATTTGCCCTGCAACACTTTCTACCAAGCGCCATCTGGCGGGGGACGATATTGAAAGGTTTTGCAGCGGAGGTCAATCGTGGGACACAGCAGGACAGACGTGTGTGCTTTACACCACTGAGCTGTGGCACTGAGATTGGCAAAGGCCCAGGGCTGAGAAGAATGGGTCGGTGAAGTGGGCACACAAAGCGCCTGCTACTGAGTTTGACCTCTGCCCGAAAGACAATGCCGGGGAAAAGAAAATAATTTCAACTCGGCTTTTCTGCGTCGTTATCCATGTGCCAGAGAGATATTGGGTGGCAACTTTGGGCCCTGCAGCTTTAATGTGCTTCACAGGCAGCCTGTGAAAGTGATTAACTTGGCAACTGATTGCATTTCCATGTTAGAGATGGGATTCTCACCATCGAAGGCCCCCTTTTAAAATTAAAGCCTTTTTTTTAAAAAAAAAACTTATTTCTTAGGTTTAGGGCTATTTGTCTTTTGCTTTTCAGTTTAATGCGTTTTGTTTTAATTGAAACTGAGTGACGTTGATGTTTTGGGGATGATAATTCTTCCATTTGATATAGCACCTTATCACACCGTTGAGATGTCCCAAAGCACTTCACAAGATGCACTGCAAAGTGAATTGACAGTGTATTTTGTGGGCAAATTGCAGGAGTGTCCCACAAACAATCGCAGATCGAGTGACCAGATTTTTTGGAGGGATTATTACCCCTGGAAAGCGATCCACCAATGGTCTAACAACCAGGTTCCTACTTACTGCTGGGTAAACAGAGGCGTGTGGAGTAAAGAAACTTGGTTAAAGATTTACCCTGGCCAGGAAGGAGTTATACACGGGAACTGAATTAATGCACACAATTTGAAGTGATCTCAAGCTAATCAACACAGCTGACAACTTTAATTCACAGGGCAGTTCTGAAACTGTTGTGCCCTCATGTTATCCCACCTGTTCAGACAAACCTAATGTAAGAATAAAGAAAACTAAACTCTAAAAGCAAATGTTGATCATTTGCAGGTGTTCACCTACAAACTGCAGTCACTGTAATTTACAATACAAAATTACATTTGTATAGCGCCTTTCACGTCAGCAGGACGTCCCAAGGCACTGGACAATCAGGGATTTGGATCAATTCTGTGAAGCATTTTGAGACTTCCTTCTAACATGAAAGTTGCAATACCAACTGTAAGGATTATTCCTTTTGTATTGCTTTGTTCCATTCACTAAGAGCAGCGAATCTTTCGATGTGCTCTTAAGAAGGGGGAAATCTCATTATAAATATGCATCGAAGGGTTCAGTAAACTAAGCAATGGGAACAGAAACCACAATTAATAATCCTTACATTTAGTCTAGCACTTTCCATGTTAGGTGGGCATCTCTCAAGCACTTCACAGGATATACTGTAAAGTGTAGTGACTGTATTTTGTAGACAAATATTCCCTCAAACTATACTATTTATGCTGCAAGTTTAAAAAAAATCCAATATTCTGTTCAAGTAGTTGGAGGTCACCCATTCTATGCCACCATGGACTTAGAATCATTGCAACAGCAAAGGACATAAACGTGCAAACACTGGAACAGGAATATAATAATCCTTGCTTTTGATATAGCACCTTATCATGTTGGTGAGAAAAAAAAGCCCTGCACAGAATATACTGTAAAGTGAAATGACTTTATGTTTTGTGAGCAAAACATGTCAGCCAACTGCACACAGCAGTGTCCCACAAATATTCATGGATTGAGTTACCAAATTTTTTTTGGAAGAGAATATTACCCCGAGAAAGTAATCCTCTAATCGACTAACAACCGTGTTCCTACTTACTGCTAGGTAAACGGAGCACAGTACGTTTATATATAACACATACATATTCATATAATACATATGTATTCCGAAGAATAGATGCCTAGCACAGAATCACAAGGCAGCTATTGATATTAAGCTTTTTATTGACCCCATAAACCAAAAACTTTAGCAGAACTCAGTCTTGCATTTGTGTCTTGATCTTTATTCATGTAAACAGGGGTGGGCGATTCTCCTGTAAAGTGCAGTCAGTTAAATAACACCTGTTATCTATGCAGTTAAAATTGTGCTGGTGCATTCTGTACTTCAGGTCAAACGGTTTTATTATAAGGCAGGAGCCTGATGTCTTTCATCAGATCCTACTGGGAGCAAAATAACCTCCTTGAGCTCCCTCAACAGCTTAGTTAATAATGCCACTGTTAAGTGCGAAGTAGAGCGATGTGGAGCCAGACTCGGTCCTCACAGGCTCACTCAGCTCAGCAATTTCAACTGTGGCAGAAATTTCAAGGGTTGCAATTGGCCTCAGCACCCCTGGAATATGAAGAGGTGAGAAATCAGTCAGTTCCCCTTGTGATGGAAAGTACTATACACATGTCTGGGTGTTAGTGTGAGATGGGGTGTGTGGGCCCTGACACAGTGGGGTTCACACAAAGCTGAGCTTAATTGTTCAGGTTTAAGCCTCTCAGCACCCTTCTGCTCAAGTGCACTTAAGTATGTAGAATCTGCCTTTTCTCCATTCTTTATGGGGCACGAACACTGAACACCATAGCAAAACGTGTGACATAGGTGAAAGTGTGATGCAGTATCCAAATATAACAGCTTCACAGGCAGAGTTTGAGTATTTCAGTTCAACAAACAAAACAAATTACATTTGTAAAGCGCATTTCACGTCGGGTGGACATCCCAAGGCACTGGACAATCGAGGGGCCACTGGTGGTTGGGATCAGGAGGGCCAGAGAGCAGGGGGTGGGAGGGTGACTGAAGGCACGGTTAAAGAGGGGCAGGTCTTGAGGCGGTCAGATTCAGACGGCTCAGTAGCCAACAGGACAACAAGTGTGACATTCACCACTGACGTTCTGCAAGAAAGCAGCAGCTATCAAACCAATGACTATTTTCTAAAACTGTTCTCAATTTGTGCTCCCGTTACATAGAATTCAGACAAAAGCCTTCAATAAGATCTTGCCTCAGATCCTTTTACACCGAATGTCAGACAAACCTTGTTAACAAAGGAACTTGCTCAGACTTGATTCTGTCATTTAATACATTGCCAACCACATCCTTAAAAGCTTTCTTGGATGATCCAAAATACTGTACTTATATTTTCTTTAATTCCTTCCCATGCATTGTGATGGCCAGAGTGATGTGACTTATTGGTGGCTTTAATAATTAGCAGTGTTCTAGTGCCAGAGGTTGACTCTTGAGATAGGTCATTTCAGTAAAGCTCCTTAGGCATTGAATATCCATCTCTTAAATAGTTTTCTGGGCTAAGAAAGCTGTGAATAACTGGAGTGGGGGGGGGGGGGGGGGGCGGTGGAGGTTGTGGGGAGCGTTCTGTTTTGTCTGACTTCTCCCTCTCTGGTTTAGCATTCCACCGTGAAACGTGATCTAGAAATTTTACCATAGAAATTTACAGCACAGAAGAGGGCCATTCGGCCCGTCTTGTCAATGCAAATCAATAGGATAAGGTTCATCCAACCAAAACATATCTTGCAACTATTTCTGCCCAGCAACTAAGGGAGAAGAGGTGGTTCCGAGCTCCAGAGGAAACATGACAACAGTCCTGGCAGAACACTGCCATCAGTTCTGGAGTCCCATAGCATAGTGGCTAGCTGGTTCGTCCTGCAAGCAAGAGGACCCAGGATCAATTCCCAGGCAGAGTAAAACCTTAGGCAAATTTCCTTACTCCAAGCATCTCTGTTTACCTAGCAGTAAGTAGGAACCCGGTTCTTTATCGGTTTGCAGATCGTTTCGCCCACAAATTTACGGTCAATTCACTTTACAGTATATTCTGTGAAGCGCTTTGAGACGGGCAGAAGACATGAAAAGCGCTATATCAAATGCAAGGAT